TACTGCAAAGTCTTACAGCCTGCCCTTGGAAAGAACAAGATTCCTGTACAAATCTCCCTCAGAAACAACGCACCATGAGACTTCTCCAGCTTTAATTCATCTTCCATGGCCAGATGTCAGGCAGGCAGCCTAGGAGAGACAAAGATGGATTGGGGTTTTCACTTTCTTCATACTGGTCTGTAAATGGTTGTCCTGGCCCTGCCGGGAGTGTTGAAAAACACGCTGCTACCTCCCCCACCACACCGCTCGCCCCCACCTATGTACGGCACAGTCAGTTCTGCAGCACCCGGGCACTATCCTGCCTGCAGGCTCGGCCGTGCCTCTGCTTTCACCTGCTCCTGGGTGCCCGAGCCCGGGAAGAGTCACCATTCACAGGGCTGCCCTGCACTGATGGGTGACTCTACGGAGGGATGGGGAGCTAAAGGCACAGCTTTGGGAACTGATTTTGACTTGAGGGGGTATTTACAGTTCTCTTGGCTCAGTCCTTTTGTGAAAGAAAATAAAAAGGTGTTAATTTAGTTTTTAAAGGCAGCTTCTTTCACAATATGACTGACTGCCAGCCTGCCTATCACCATTTTCAACGCTGATCAGTCCTACTGCTGAAGGACTCTTTTATGAAGTCCAGGGTAGCAGTGTCCAGCTGTGTGACTGCATGCTGCAGCTGGTGGCAGAGGTGAAGCATCCTTTTGCAACCACTGCTTCCCTCCCTCTACCTCCGCTCTCTCCTGTTGTATTCCATAACTCAGCTACAGAGGAGGATTTTGCTGGTTGACAATTGCGCAGCATAACCTGGTGCATAGCCCAAAGGCAGGAGGGTGTTCATGCTAGGCAGAGCACTGAGAATTCAGGAGGGACTTTTATAACCTACTGAACCACATCAGACCTAGGAAAGATCTAAAGATTATGCAGTTCTTGTCAATGTTTTCTTTCCTCACCCCTGCTTTTTTTTAATGCCAAGCCTGCTAATGGTTTATGCTGGTTGAAAAAACAGTTCAAGCTTTGCCCCTGTATCAGAGTGGCAGTGAAGCATGCATGAGGGTTTGCTCAAGTGGCAAAGCATATCTGATTTGAAAAAAAGCAAACAGCTGAGGCCATTCGAACAAGTCATGCTCCTGTACACTTTTAATCAGTTGTGTCTGCCAAAAGAGGTCTTGCACAAGCAAATCTGGCTTCATGCAACAGGAACATTTTTGCGTGTATGCAAGCTGGCTTCGACTTCTTGATAATGTGGTCTCTGGAAGCAGTGTTAATGTGCTTGTTATATCCCTGGCTGCTGGAATTACCTTAATATCAAGGTATTCATGGTTGGTGGTTTGGTATGTAGCTCTACGTTTTATTGACTTTGTCTGCACTAAACTTCCTTACCAGCATGTGCTCTGACAGGGAGTCTCCTTTGGCTGTTCCAAAGGGCTGGTGAGGAAAGGAGGAATTCACAGGACATTAAAGTGCTAGACAAGTCTGAGACAATTTCATCTTCTTCCCTCTTGAAGTAGCTGTTTCCTTAACTGTACTTCAGTTCACTTTTATTTGCAGCTACTCTTTGAGTCGGGGGTTTTTACAGTAATAAAAAATACTTTATCAGTGTAAAATCAGTTAGCTAATGGGCAAGTAGATGTTATTTTAATTTAAAAATGTATACTACTATGATTATTCAGTCTTGTTTGCTTGTATTAACTTACTCTGGTAGATGTGCTTTCTGATTTAGAGGGAAAGGAGTAGAAACCAAACAAACCAAAATCTTTCAGCTGAGGTGCTGAGGACGGTTGTCAGGGCGTAGAGTATCTGAGGTGCCTATATAAGGTATAAGATGGGAAACAGTAACGCAGGTGTTGTAACATGGGTTTTATACATACGGACACCCACGAATCATTTTTTGTGGGATATTGTACTGGTCACTTCACTCAGGAAGCAGTGGGAAGTGGAGGGCAGGGGAGAACCCTCCTCTGAAGCCAGGTTTTGTTCCACTGTTGGTTTCATCAGAGTTTCTTCCCCCCAGATGACTGCTGCTGGCTGCTGCCAGTGATAAGGGAGGGGAGCAGAGGCAGTGCTGTTCCAAGGCGGCATGACAGATCCTCTCTTCCCGTATCAGTGTGACAGAGAAGAAGGGAAATATTTCTGCAGGGAAAGGAAACCAAGATGAATTTCCCTGGAGAGGAAAAGAGCACTAGAGGAATTCAGGATCACACAGGAAAAAGTGATGTAAGAGAAGAAAATAGGAAGCAAATCAACACAAAAAATACCCTAACACCAAAAAAAGCACCAGAAGTTGGCTGGGATCCATTTCAGGAAATCACTGTAAAGCTGAGTAACTTTGTCACATACAGAAATACAAATCAAGGGAGGACACAAAAGATGACAGGGGAGCACTGATACAGCCTCTTTCATCTATGGTGGACTCCAAAACTAAGAGCTCTGCCATGCTGACCTCACATGGGGAGATCCACTTTACACATGGGGACAGTAGAGAGGCACAGTGAGAAACGGCTTTGGTTGTGGGTTGAAACACAGTCTGGAGCATGCCAGACATTGCCTAGGGCTGCAGCAAAGCTTTACTTCTCAAGTTAAGCCTGAAATGGCAAAATTTACAGCTGTCACTGTTGGTGTAGCCCAGGGAAGACACTGTGCCTTGCAACTACCTTCCCACCTCTCGTCTTGTGGGGGAACTCTTCTGCTACGGCATTTCGGTACATCTGTGATGTTAGGTGTCCACCACCAGGTCTGGAAATGTGGCAGGCTGCAGTGTCAGGATTTTCTCCATTCAGGGCTCCCGGACAGGGAACAAGGTATTTCAGGGCAGAGCAGAGGCAGGGGCAAGAACTCTCACCAGGCCCTTGTGCGGGTTGAAACTGGACCTGGCTGGTGCTGCAGATGAATGGTGCAGTGTATGCGTACCAAGTTTGGTATATGAAGGAAGTATCAGAGCCACAGTGCATGTGGGGCAGAGCTGCTCTGCACAGCATGCCCAGTGCATCCCAAACATGCCAGATTTATTACACGTATGCTGACCACTTGTGCAGAAGCCAGTGTTTCTTGGGCATGGTAAAGTCATGGTGAGTGTGGTGTGCCGAGTGTCCACGTGCCACTCGCCTTGGGCCACCCCTGACCCTGAGCAGGTAAGTCTGCTCTTCTCCAAGCCCATGAGCCCTGTCCCTGCCCCACCAGCTCAAGCCCACCAGCTGGAGCACCGAGAAGGGAAGGTGGAGCCTTGGCCATCTCCATCCTCGTGGCCTCCAGAGGAGGAGGAGCCGGCAGCCCTGGGGAGCTGCTCCCAGGAGCAGGCATCCAGGTAGGCTGAGCAGGGGGATGGGATGGGACGGGGACGTGTCCCTGGCGCTGGATTGGAGAGGCCAGCTATCTCCTGGCCTAGCAATTTGTGGCAGGGAAATTTGTTCTGACCACGTAATGTTTGTGCCTGGAAGTAATGGCTAAGGGGAAGTGTGCTTGAGGGGAAGAAGCGTACTTATTTCGGGACAGATTTTTGCACAGGTTTTATATCCATGGCTTATCCAGGGTGAGGCTCGGTGTGGGGAATGAAGCCTCTTCACTAAGCGGTATGCATTTTCCTAAAAGTTTTCCCATTAGAGGTTGCATGTATTTACCGTGCGCTGACAGTAGCGCTTGATTTTGAGTTTGCCTAAAGAGCAGTTGCATGTATGCGCCTTCCCACCCCGACCCCTCCCACCCCCCCCTTTCCCCCCCTTCTTCTTTTTTTGATCGCTGTTGGGGTGTTTTCTGCGGTGTGGGGAATGAAGCCTCTTCACTAAGCGGTATGCATTTTCCTAAAAGTTTTCCCATTAGAGGTTGCATGTATTTACCATGCGCTGACAGTAGCGCTTGATTTTGAGTTTGCCTAAAGAGCAGTTGCATGTATGCGCCTTCCCACCCCGACCCCTCCCACCCCCCCATTTCCTCCCGTTGTTCTTTTTCAGATCACTTGAAGGTTTTTTCCTGTTTATTATCCGGACATGCTGCGCGCTGTGTGTTGATTTGACTGTCACATAAGGAATCTCCTACTGGGATCATTGATGCGTTCCTTTCTTTTATATATAAATATATATGGCAATGGCTCCTAGGCTATGGAAGAGAAATGTTGGTGATTAAACCAAAATTATAATGAGCTACAGGTGTTAATGGGAGTTAAGTTTAGTTACCCTTTCCCAGAAAACCTGCAGCAATGTGATGGGTATAGTCATAAACAAAAATTCTCCTTAATTGACATAACAGGAAAGGTACTTCAGTGAGCAATTATGCTGATGTCCTGGACTGGCACATGTGTGTACCACAAATATATCTTGTACTTCCTGCAAAATTCTTTTAAGTAGCTATAAGGAAGACATTCTTTTTTTTTTTTTTTTTTTCCCAGTGGTTCACGAAAACGAATCACTTACTTAAGGCTCTTTTTGAGGAAAACAATGGAACAAAACAATGCTTTTTGTATGACCTGCCAAAGCACAAAGGATGCATGGGATGGTTTTTTTCTTTGTTGTTTTTGTCAGCAGGAAGTTTTGTTGTTGGAAACAACTATAACATGCACTGTCCTTGCTCTATGTAATCACTGTCTGGTCCTGCAAGCCGGGTCTTGTCACTTGCCTCATCAAACTGGCACAGGCACCGTTCTGCTTCACTCTGTGGGCTTTGTTCAGTCCTGAGTGTCCGCACACTTACTCTCCACCCGGACTGATGCACAGTAAACAAACTTCAGGAGTCGGGTGGTCCAATGATTGCTGGGTTCCCGCAGGTTAGGGCCCACGGCTGACTTTGGGAATTGCCTCCTTTTTTTCCTTAGATGGCTTAAAATCAGAGTGCGGTACAGTGCAAACAGCTTTGAAGTGTTTTCAGGTGTAAATATTCCTTTCCAAAACTCGACTTTGATGTGTTTGGGTCTGCTTTGTTTCCCTCTAGGTTAGTTGTAGGTTTGTAACAAAGAGCCAGATCCGATTGAGTAAATCCCTTGTGGAAGTTAATTGTTCACAGTGAAAGCTGGTCTGGCTCATTTTGCCTCCGTTGCAGGAAGAGACAGAGGTGGTGTGCTGGATCTGCGTTCTAAACCAAGCATTGACGCGACTTTAATTTTGATCAGATGTCTCTCTTCAGGGCATTAAAGAAAACCTGCTCAGTAATCAAAAAGAGCCTCTTCTCTAGAGAAACGTAAGAAAAAAAAATTAATGCATTTTACAGAAATAAAGTACTAATATAAAATTTCAGCTTGGTCAAATTTCTTTTGCAGGCTATCATAAAAGAAACCTACTTCTCCATATTTGGCAGTCACCAGAATCAAAAAATGTTTTGTTTTTTTTTCCTGGAAAAAAGAATATGAAATTATTTGTAGTGTCAGATATTGTATGATGGTAACTATATTTCAACTGTTTTTATTCACTGCTGCTGTGTTTAGATTATGTTTGTGCTTTCTCTCCATCAACATTTTCAAATGCTTTTCAGAATCAGTCATGTGCTTTGATTTCATTAAGTAACAGTCTTCTTTTATTCTCTCCTTAGGACTGAAGCAGTGAGAATGGAAACCACGAAGATTAATATGTCCCGCGTCCCGCTGGTTAACGGAGGCATCGACACTGCCATGCTCAAGGCACACAAACCCCGTGTGATGTCCAAAAGCGGTCATAGCAACGTGCGGATAGACAAAGTCGATGGCATTTATCTACTCTACCTTCAAGATTTGTGGACTACAGTTATAGACATGAAGTGGAGGTACAAACTTACCTTATTTGCTGCTACTTTCGTTATGACCTGGTTCCTCTTTGGAGTTATCTACTATGCCATTGCATTCCTTCATGGTGATTTAGAAATAAACAAGTTCACCCCAAAGCGCGAGCCGTGTGTCCAGAATGTAGACTCTCTGACTGGGGCATTCCTCTTCTCCCTGGAGTCACAGACAACCATTGGCTATGGATTTCGTTTCATTACAGAGGAGTGTCCTCATGCCATTTTCTTACTTGTGGCCCAACTGGTCATCACCACCTTGATTGAAATCTTCATCACAGGTACCTTTCTGGCCAAAATTGCAAGACCTAAAAAAAGGGCAGAGACTATTAAATTCAGCCACTGTGCTGTCATTACGAAACACAATGGAGAACTTTGCCTGGTGATCAGAGTAGCAAATATGAGGAAGAGCCTTCTGATACAGTGTCAGCTGTCTGGGAAGCTTCTTCAGACATATGAAACCAAAGAAGGGGAGCGGATCCTGCTGAATCAAGCCAGTGTCAAGTTCAACGTTGACTCCTCTTCAGAGAGTCCATTTCTCATTTTGCCTTTAACCTTCTACCATATTTTGGATGAAAGCAGCCCTTTGAGAGATCTCACGCCTCAAAATCTCAAGGAGAAGGACTTTGAGCTTGTGGTGCTCCTGAACGCCACGGTGGAGTCCACCAGTGCTGTCTGCCAAAGCAGGACTTCCTACATCCCTGAGGAGATCCACTGGGGCTACGAGTTCGTTCCTGTGGTTTCTCTCTCTCCAAATGGAAAGTACGTTGCGGATTTCAGTCAGTTTGAGAAGATTAGGAGAAGCACAGATTCCACTTTTTATAGTATGGACTCTGAAAAACAAAAACTAGAGGAGAAATACAGGCAGGAGGATCAAAGAGAGAGGGAACTGAGAACGATGTTGTTACAGCAGAGCAATGTTTGATTGAATGGACAAAGTAATCTGATTAATCCTTTTTGCAAACTGAAAAAACATACTCTCTGTGCTGTCTGTCCGCTATGAAACCAGCAGTGAAGTCCTCTTCAGCAAATAGCTTTGGTGTATAGTAAACCTATCCCTTTGTTTGGCTGAGTTGTTAATCAAGTATTTTGTAATTAGGCAGGATTTCTTTGTTCATGACCGTGACTTAGCAAAGTTGGATTTGTATTAAGTCTCTGCCTTATACCACCACTAAACGCAGACACACCACTTTCCGTTTGGAAAGTGAAACTGGATGCACTGTGCTGATTCCTTGTAATATTTATTTGACATGGTTTTACTGTGAACATGCATTCGCAGAGACAGCACACAGTACTGCTAGAAGAAAATATGCTCCTTTAAAATATGTATATTTAAAATGTATGTTCTCGTACCAGGTATTGCCTTCACGGGCATTCCTGGCACTGAAAGTTGATTGGAGAGACAAATGGTTGGATGTGGGAAGAGCCTGCAGGGAGGTGATAAACTCCTCCTTAAATCTTGAAAGAGGGTGACAGAGTAGTCGTGCTGGGTGGTGAGCAAGGAGCTCACTCTCTGTCTCTGCTACTCAGAGCTTGTTTTGTGATTGTTTTGTGATCACTCACTTTTTTAACCTTGTTAATGCCTGATTTATATATAATAGCAAAAAAGGGAGATGAAGGCAAAATACACAGAATCATAACAGTAATCAACTAAGGTTAAAGCTGGCTTTGAGACACCTGGTTTTTATCCAATGTAAAGTTTGTAATAGCAGCATAACAATACATTTCTACAGATTGCTTGCTTTGCTATGGACCGTATTTAATTTTGGTTAAAAGAAAGCTGTATAATGTCTGTAGACAATATTTACTTTTTCTGGCAACCATAAAAGACAAGCATTCCTTTCATCCATTTCATTTTTGGTCTATTAAAACCATTCCATTAATAAAGGACTTTAATTTGAGCAGCTCCTGATCTCTTTGTGGCACGGGGAGAACGTGTGGTACCTCGGAGATGTTGAAAGAGCCGAGCACTTGGCATAGGCAGTTGCATCCAGCACACAACCCAGGGACTCAGCAGATCACTAAAGCGGTCAGATTATGGGTAGCAAACCAGGTAGCAGTGGTGTCCACATAGCATGCCTATTATACGTAGGTCAGCTTTTTTAATGGGACTTAGAAATTATTTCTGACTCATATCGCTTTGGCAGCTTTCTGAGTTCTAGAGATTTTGCTCCACTAAAGCTTTGGCAAGGAAAAGCTGTATTAAGTATGAGTTTTGGGTCTGTGGGCCAGGTCTTGGCCTGAGAGCCACCAAGGCCTGCAGTGATGAAAGGACTTTTGGTACCATTACATGTACTGTCACTGTGCTTAGCTTCCCAGCACCATGTGGCCTAGCGGAATGCAGTCCTGCAGTCTGCCATACAATGTTCTATACAATAAATGAATCCAGCTTGGTGCCTAAAGAGGCACTCAGCAAGTTGAGCACAGAGATGCCCGTGGCACCAAGAATGAATGTCAGGAAGAACGGAGCGCATACTGGTGGTGGTAAGGAGGGGCATGAGAGGCTTAAAACTGCTCGTTTATGTAAATGGTTAGCTCTCCTGTGTGAGAAGTCAGAGATCCAAGTACTTGTCTGAAAAGAGAGACTTGACTTAACTTAATCCAGGAAGGTTCCCTACCCACTACAATGTGAGCAAGGTTTCTCAAACCATTGTAATTGCAGGGCCCACTTAGCATTTTTGGAAAGAATTTCTAGGTGGTATTATGCTGTGTTGTCACACAGATTTTCATTTGCAACCACATATAAAGGATGTTAATGTTTAAATTATTGATTGTTAATTTTCAGTTTTCCTTAATTTTGATCACTTGCTTCGTTGCAAGGAAGCATGTGTGCGCCATGATTTTTTGCAGTCACTTTGTAGACCTGAGGTTCATGTCCTACAACTCAGAGAACACTGCTTTGCGATGCTGAGGTGAAAGTTTGCAGGTGTCTTAACCCTTCTTCTGCCAGGCCTTAGCCTCCATGTTTTGATAATCAAAGATACACTCCAATTCTTTTTTATCTGGGTGAGTGCTCAGATCATTCCTAAAGTCATTGTCTCACCTGTGTATTGACTGTAAAACAACTTCACCAACAGCAAGTGAGCTGGTTCTTCTCCAGAAATACCTGGTGATGAACTGATCCCCTTCCTCCCATCCCCTTCCCATCCCTGGAAATAAAGAGAAACATGTCAATTTGTATCTTTCAGGTGAGCACTCCATCGATTTCAATAAACTTGTTTGTTATTGCACTTTCTTGCTTGTATCTTAAGAAATCCTAGTGCATTGAGCCCTGTAAGATACACACATTTCTTGAGTGTCAGATCTAGGAAGTCCTGTGGGTACCCAGCTGCAGCAATGTTCTTGTGTGGGGACTTCTGTGGCAGCCATTTAGGAGCCTAGAGACCAGGCTGCTCCAGGCTTTGACAGCTGCTGAGCAGTAATTTTTTAGGACCTTCACTTTTGGAGCTAAGGAAGCAGGTACAGACTTAAGTTCTTGTGTACACCAATCCCAAGGTTCAGTCGCTATGTTCACTAGTCCATTTCAGTCATCAGGTTATCCTGAAGAAAAAAAACATCATAAGCAAAAGCCTTGGAAAGAAAAAAAGCATCACAGAAATTATTTTCTCTGAACTTTCAGTCCTACAAGAGGAAGGGAAGGGAAGGGAAGGGAAGGGAAGGGAAGGCACTGGAAATCTTTGGCAAAGTCAAAGAAAACCTTCATCAGGTAGTGAGAGACTGTACAGTAGTATTACATACATACATTAGTATAATACATAATGCACGGCTATTCATTCATTCCAGCTTCAGAACACAGTCTTATTCTGCGATGAGCTGTACTTTTCCTTCCTGCTTTCGTGCGAGCATAACTTCCATTGCTCTATCTGCAAGTTAAGAAGAGCAAAAGTGGCCTTGGAGCAGCATGCTTAGCTGCAGAGTACTGAACTGCAGTGGAAAAATGTCATGACGTGGATCTGATATGAATCACCAGCAAACCACAACCTCTCACTGCTTGTGGTAAGCTCTTCTGGTTGTGTAAATACAGCTATGGTGATTTACCTCGGCTGAGGACTGACAGGATGGAGAACCAGAAAGCAAAACTTCCATGGCCATCCCAAAGCTGCCTTACCCATTAGCAAGGACTGTCTTGCCCACATGGTGATTGAGGGTGTGAGAGCCTTCTTGTCTGCTGACTGCTTGTCCCAAGGTGTCGAGGCAGAGCATCCACAGCTCCAGCAGGTCAGGTCCCTCACAGCCGGCAGCAGCACCTTCTCACTCCTCTCCCTGCCCCACAAATGGAAGATATTGCTTTGGGAACTACTGAGTTGGATATTATACTAGTCTTTAAAATGTACTAACTTTATGAATAAATTTAAATTAAATCTGAATCTAAAATTTCAGAGACTAAAGAAATCGGTGGAGCCCCATGTCCCTGTGTGCGCTAGGTGCATGAGTATGTCTGTCAAGTAAATCATCCATTCCAGTCACTAGATCATTCAGAAGAAAATAGTCATGGTAAACTAAATATCACTTTTTAAAATTTACTGAGGAATATGACATATTTATCTTTCTTTTATTCATGAGTTATCAGTGACCAGAACATTTTTAGAGTCGTTTTAATTATTTGGACTTGTACAGCACACAGCTGAATGGGAACTTATTTCAGCTCATGGACTGTTTCTGAACTATTTGCTTTGGCTTTGGCTTCAATACTTCATTGTTCTCTTTCTTTTCCTCTATTTTGATTTTTTTCTGTGGAGGTAGGTGATTGAAGAAGCATAATTTCACTTCTGTTGCTTCCTTGCAATGGCTTGGGAAGGGAAGGGAAGAAATGAACCCCCAGAGACTGCAGGCTGACTGCAGTGCCGGAGTCAGATCCACCATCCTTCACAAATGTTTCACTTCATCTTCCAAACTGATGACAACGTTTGTGGAAAGCCAAGAATTTGACAGGGGAGCTAGTGGTCTCCAGAAAAATGAGTTTCTCTAATTTTCTGAATACAGGTAGGAGGGCAAGTAACAATTAGGTCTAAAAGATACTGGGGGAGTGGATGCGGAATGGAGAAACAGAGAGAAAAAAAACCAATCATGCACACTCATACTCATCCGTATGACTGAACATTTGCCACTTCCATAGGATGCCAGGTTAAAAAAAAAAAACAACTCTCAGATTTGCTGAGATGACTCAAAGGACTGGGAAAAGTGAATGCAAGTTCTGTATTTGAACAAATGTTCCTGATGACTTCTGAATGTGTTTGCTCAGTGTTAGTCTGATGACAGCCTGATCTTGAAAGAGAACAGGTAAGATGCTGTGATGACTCTATCAAATCCGTGATGGAGAGAATCTTAAAAAAGCATAGTGTATGCTCTAGCTCTTGCTTATTCATTGCTAATATATTGTTTGGCTGCAAAGCAGTCATATCCGGGTCACCTTCATGTTGTTGGGATTACATGAATAAAGGAATGTTACCCTGACTTGTCTGCTCAGCCTTCAGCAGATACTCTCTGCAAATATTAGATTACCAGAACAGAGCCCTTTTAATGCAATAGGTACCTAAATGGCTTGAAAGAGCTTTTGGAGCATTTCCAGGACATCATATATTCCCTCAGCAGAGACTGTTCAGAGCTGCCCTGTCCTGCGTTATCACATAGTACACACAACAAAACAACATAATTCCACAAGTAGCACAGCATAGATATGCTTTTTGCATCTCCTCTTAACAATAAATTCCACAATGGTCACTGTGCACCTCACCATATTGCATGACTGTTAAATTCATTCCTTCTTTACTATCCCCTGTAAATGTTTATCCAGACAAAATATGACAGGATGACTGACATTAGTGATACAGAGAGGAGGAAAGTGTTTAAGGACATAGGATTTATGCCTCTGACAGACATGTGACCATGTCTGAATCTTTCACAGCGGACAAAGACTGTACTGCTCTACCTGCCTGCTCCTCTCCTTTGCCCAAGATCAGCATCCTCAGGATCAACAGCAGAATGGAGCATTGCCTAGCACTACTGAGGTGCCAGCTGAGATTCAGATGTGTGGCAGGCTCTGATGAAACCAAAACCAGCTCATGGAGGTAAGTTGGTGCTAAGATCCTGCACTGTGGAGATGCAAGACGTGTATTCTGTTCTGCTGACTTTCATGCAGAGCAAAAGCGTCCGATGGGGTCAGCAACATAAAGCTGTCTTTGGCCACCCTCACTGTGTATCTACTCTCCCTCAGGAACACGCCAGCCTCAAACTAAAATGCAGTGAGTCTGAGTTGCTATACATTAAAAAGAGCTGAGGTGTCTGAGGAAAAGACTTAACAGAGGTCAGATGGCTCCAGTAGCCATTAATAGCTTTTGCAGTGCAAATTGTTCACCTCCCATAGACCTATTTCAATGTCTTTTCCCTTCTACTCCTTATATTAAGCATCTAATTATCTAACGCTGGTTAGGATCATAATTTATTTATCTTTCCTTTGCAACAAAGATGTATACTTGAATCATAAGCAGAGTAAGATTTCACTTAACAACTGCGGTTAAACAACAATTTTCAAGTTAGGGAATTGTTACTCATTTTTTACCCAATGAAATTGGTAAAATGGTCTGTGAAATGTACCCTTTGCGGTGCTCCAAAATAAGAAATATCTCAAAATAAATATCAAAGTCCAAGATCTGGAATGAATTAGGTGATTCATGCTAAATGGCCAATCTTGCTAGTCCTCGGAAAAAACCAGATTGTTATTTTCAGAAAAAAGTATCGTAAATGCTACCCTGATGGTAGACAAAGTTTGGAAAGAACAGTATATACCATAGTGACCTGTGAAAGATGCTTGTTGTAAGTCAGGATAGTTTTTCATTGTAAAGCTGCAGACGTATAGCTGCTTTCCTGTGAGAAACAAAGGTTTAGGCAATGT